ATATATATATATATTATAGATGATTGAAATTTTGTTATTTAATCTAGGTATTTATTAACAACTTGACTGCAATATTCATAATTCATACCTATATCATGGTCCGTGAGACTCTTTTTTTGACCTACTTAATTTAAATAAAAGGGTTAAAATTGAAATTAGATGGAAAAAAACTCAAAAACTTCAAATGTATTTATATTACTCGATATACTATTATTGTAGGTACCTAAAATTAATTTTGGTTTAATAGTTGTAGAATGTGATGTGGAACTTGAAAGTGTTGGACAAATATCTAAAAATGATTTGAAGAATATTTTAGACTCAAAAGAAGATGGACAAGACACAACTAATACGTACACTGAAAATAATAACTCTTCTGATGTTAGCACTTCTACAGGTATACACTAGCTCAAATTTATACATATGTTAATAATATTTCAGTATTGTAAAATATTTTTTAATACCTATGTTTGTGATTTTAAGAATCTATTCAAATTCTATAATTACATTACACTTAATATAATTAAATTAATTTTGTTTTTATAGTTGTGGAATATGATGTGGGACTTGAAAGTGTTGGACAAATATCAGAAAATGAATTTAAAAGTATTTTAAACTCAAAAGAAGATGGACAAGACACAAATAATACATACACTGAAAATAATAACTCTTCTGATATTAGCACTTCTACAGGTATACACTAGCTCAAATACGTACATATGTTAATAATATTTTAATGTTGTTAAATTTTTTTTAATACCTAATATTTTTGATTTAAAAATTTCTATTTTATTCTATACTATTAATTATTATTATGTATATACTTTAATAATTTGATTTTGATTTTTTTCTATTATTACAAATGTATTACTTTTATATTATGCTATATTATAATAAATATTTTAAAACTTATAGATTTGAATAGTATGCTGAATCTCCAATATGATTTCCCAACAGACATAGCCAAATTTCCATGGACTATTACTGATGCAAATTTAATAAGAAGTTTGATTTTATATGGACCCTGTAAGCCAGATATTAACTTTCCAGTAAATAATAATGGTAAACGTTTTTCATCTAGTTATTATTTTCTAACAACTAAATCTGGTACAAAAATTCCAAGAACCTGGCTATGTTATTCTTATAACTTAGACTGTGTGTATTGTGAATCATGTTGGCTGTTTGCTGATAGATCTTATGGCAAATTTAAGTGGGATTGGATTTATGGTATTAATGATTGGAATCACTTGTCACAAAGTATTCAAAGACATGAATCATCTATTCAACATTTGGATGCTGCCAAAATTCGTTCCATTTGGGTTAAAAATGAAACCATTGACGCTAGTTTAGAAAAACAATATACTGATGAAGCAGTGAAATGGAGGAATGTATTGAAAAGGTTGATAAAAATTATACTTTCTATAACAGCAGGAAATTGTGCTTTAAGAGGGAATGAAGGAAGCCTAAAAATTAAATGTGCCACCGAAGGAAACTTTTTAAGAACAGTTCGATTACTCGCAGAGTTTGATCCTATTCTAAATGATATTTTAAATGATGAAAATCAAAAAATTAAGTATTTAAGTTGGTCTATTCAGAACGAGTTGTTAGACATTTTGTCTACAGAGTTACGTCATTTAATTTGTAATAAAATAAGATCTA